ATTACATATGATGCTTTTTCTACTGTTAAATCCCAGAAGGGAAAAAAGAGGGGGTAAGACGGTTCATCATTACTGCTTGCTTGTGGTCCTCCACATGGAAACTACTAATAATTGCTGGATGGATATGAATGGATGGCAGGAAATCGGACACTTGCCACTTTTTTCATGTTTGGCACCCTATAAGAAAAGGTTATCATCAGTGCCTTTGATTTCATTTATCTAATGTGGACCTTTGGAATTCGTTGAGAAAATCTCAGTGAAAGAAACTGGCTCCATGCTTCATCTACCTAAGGGTTCCCATTCTCTTCCTCCTACTCATATATAGGTAGTCCTCACAAGGACACTGGGAAATTAAACTTGGGTTTTGATTCTCACCCTGTAATCTGAGCCTGGCACTCTCACTCTGAAGCCCTTTTAACCTCTCTGCTTAGTAGACCTCTGCTCCACTTTCCAATAATCACTCATTTTCTCTGTGGCAGTCACCTCTGTCAGAAGCATATTAGAATTGTCACTACTCTCATTCCACACAGAAAAGGGAGCATCCCCTCATATCCCCTGGTCTTATTCCAGTGTGAATGCAGTGTGCTCTGAAAATATCATGGTGCTCTGTCTTTAGAAGAATTTGCAAAGTGGACTGTGTGGGACTCTGCTAGTCTTAGGTTCTGAGATTCATTTCTGTTTCCTGATGAGCCTTTCTGGTGCTTCCCTGCTAATGAGCTCAGAGTTTGTGCTCAGTAAGCTCTTTAGAACTCAGCAACCCTCATGTGCCTGCCACTCTGATGTAGTATGAGCTCCCAGAGCATAAAAGGCTTGTCTCCAGACCCCTGGACCTAACACAGTTTAGCAGCTTTCCCAGTCCTTAGAAAGAGCAAAATAGTAAACTGACAGTCCAAAATAAAGTTAGCAATCAACTTTGTTAGTTTTTTTCTTCTTCTTTCATTTATTTATTTTTATGGGGCCTCTGGGTGCTCTAACATTCCCCCCTCTGAAGAAGTAACCCTAAAATCTTTAAAGGATTAGATAAAAACTCCCAAATACTTTTGACATTTTTGGCCTTTTGAACAGAGTATGTTGCTAACAGGCCCAAGGACATTTTGACGTTTAGCCAAGAAACTGGCTACTTTTCTTCGGGTTTTTTTTTTAACCTAACTGCCTAGCCAATTCCTACCTCCTATTCTTATCATGCCATCCTCTGAAGGGGTTACCCAAATTGCCAACTAGGGAATAGGGATGTAGACCACTCTGGCTTCTTCCATGCTGAACAGGGACGCAGGGTGAGGCAATTGGAGTACCCCTTCAGTGGGTCTATCTAAAAGACTCCCAAATTGCATAGCTCTTATCTCTAGGGGGAAAAGAAAATCCTTGAATCGTGAATAGGAGATGTGAAGGAGAAGTAAAGGCAAGAGTAATTAGCATTACAAGTTC